TGCCTTTTTACCCTGGTGATGATGATGGTGTTTGTGAATGTGATTCCAAACGACGATGAGGCTGACAATACGGCTGCTGATGACGAGAGCGCCGCGCCCCAAACACCAAGTTTGGAACCCACAAACCCTAAGCAACAAGTGTTCTAGACCCACGAACTCCCTTTCAAGATTGCATGCCGCGGCGTAACGCGCTGCACAGCAGACCCTGTTTAAACCCTCCGTTTACAGCCCTGAGTCGACGCTCTGAGGCGGCCGCCTACTTGTCGAAGGGTCGTGATCGCAGGCTCCGAGCCGAGCTCCGCCGTGCATTGCCCCAGACGCTGGAAGGCGTTTTCTTCGGGGCCTTTGGGCTGGCTGCGGATAGTCTTCGGAAAGGACGTATACACCGTAGGGCATATTGTCATATGGCAGCTTTAAGGTCTAGAGCGGTAGGTGGATTGGGGTTGCTGTGACTAGTGTCTTCTGGACTCCAGGGTTCTGTACATGATGCTGATCCAGAGCTTGGGTCATACGGATCAACTTCGGGCTGTTGAGACACCAACGGAGAACGGAGTGCGCAGGCTTCGGCACGGCAAGGGTTTGAATGTAGGATGCTTCATTCCGTCCGTACCCGCCCAACCCCACGCCCAAAGTTAATATCCGAGGTTTGCGGTCAGGGCTGCCTGCATCCTCGTGAGCTTAATTAACCCACGGAAAGCCTTACCCTGCAAGGGTCCAAAGTATCGTGCCGTGTCATTGGCAGGGAACGTGCCGAAACGGGCTTCATGCCGAACACATGGGCTAGCAGCTATCCTTGCTACTGTATCGTAGTATACATGAATGTGCCCGTTATGTATGCTTCATAAAGCCCCAAACTTAAACCCCAAGCGCGAGCCAGAATCTCTCTTACCTGAGGTGCAAAGCGGCTTCTAAGGCAAGGTCCAGGCCACAAAGTCAGGGTTGCCGTAAGTTGCGGAGTTGTTGGCTTCGGCACCAAGCCTTAGACACCGGGGTTGGGTGATCTGCGGATTGGCGAGTCGATCTTTGACGACTTGGGATAGGGTTCAACTCTCTTGAGTTTGGTGGTCGCCAGGCGCAGTGCGATACACCCCAAGACCAAGCCCACAAAGTCCTTGGACCGACGCCGAAAGCCCCTACACCCTGAACACTAGGGGCGCCCCTGGCCCCAGCAAAAATCCACCTTGTTTGGGGGGCTTGCCAGATCATAAAGCTTACAATAGTGACATTCCACACTTTGAGGCACCGCTACCCGGGATACCAACGGCCTTGACCTGTGGGTGATCGCCTGAGATCTGAGGGGGGGTATGGGGTTTAGGGCCCAAACGCTTGGGTTTCGAGGATGAGACGTGGATCATGACTCTGCGAATTGGTCTTGCAATCTCTTCCTATATAACACCATCCCCGGAGTAGCCAGCGTGCCTTACCCAAATGGGCATTGCGTGTTCAGGATCACTCCGTTTCCTGGAAAAGCATGCAGGTTCCTCCGGAAGCTTGTGCAAAGAATAGATCAGATGAAGATGAACTAGACAGAATTTAGGCTGCTAGTGAGTTCGTATTTTTGAATGTGTTTCTGTGCAAGGCGCGACCTTGGCTCCGGACATAGGATCCTAGGTCCGGGAGCTTGAACTCAGCACAGCCTTTTCCAATCCTTTATCTTTAAATCTGCTGACCATGAAGGGCTGTTCAAACCTACGGCTCCCTCGCAAATGCCTATATGCCTATATGTGATAATATTCACGGAAAGAAAAGCCTTAATGCAGAGCAGCCTGCATCGCCGCCGCATGGAACTGCAAAGGCCAAGTGCTTCCGCCTTCGCAGGGACGTCTAGCAGCAAGAGGCTCGGGAAGGTCTCCGCAACCTGCATTTCGGAGCTGACGCTTCGCAGTGGATCACAAGCGGCAGTCTTCGGATGGAAGGATAAGAATAGAACTACCACGACGCGACATTAAGGTCAGGGTTTACGGCTGAGGTGTGGCTGTTGCTTCCGGGTGCAAGGCGAGAGGCCCTGCTTAAGCCCTTCCTTCCTCCCGTGCCAAAGAGCGACTGAACCCTGCCATGCGGGTTCTTGCGTAGGAGCTGAACACCGTAACTTTCTTAGTAAGCCCCTGTAAACTTTGAATCGTTGAGCCAGGCAGAGCTTTGTTCGATGTTGGACTCCAGCAGCCGGTTCCTCAAGAAGTGCGTGTGCGCACGGATCATCTCGTGCTGCAGTTTGGACCCAGGCCTCGGTTGAAGCTTAAATTGCATTCTGCTCCATGGGGGGGCGCAGGTGGAGTTTGGGTGGTCTTTTCAGGTTTGTAGCGGGTGGTCTTTTCAGGTTTGTAGCTTCGCAGTTCCGAACGTACCCGAAGCCGCCGGCCCCGTTTGGAGTCGCCTCCAGATCTCGCAGGCCCTCGAAACCCTTATTTCATGTGTGATCCACATGACCAGGTGCCCCTCTCGAACCTTTGTCACCGTTAAGTGCTGGCATAGGATAGTCAGAACGCAGAGCCGTAAGTCATGGAAGTACCGTCGTAGCTTTCATCAGCCGCATATCTCCGACCACCTTCAAGCACAGACAACTGTCAGCCAGGCTTGTGAGCGAGAGAGCAAGTATCTTCTGATCTATGAAACTTTCCCAAACGGTAGTTGCAAAAGCGGCTCAGAACAACCTCAATTCCCTTACAGCTACAGCATTCATAGATATGCCTGTTTTCTTACAACTTTACACACAGCTATGACAGTTCTTCAAGCTTAGGCTGTGGGGTCTGGGGCCAGGGCTTGGCGATTCGGTTTGCGCTTCGGGAATCAAGAACCAGGCGGGAGGGCCACGCTTCCTTCAATGCAGCCCTTGTTCTAGAGACACGGTCCGTCCCCTGAGCTTTTGGGACGCCCTGCGTCTTTCCGCCTAGCTCCGTGCACACTGAGGAACCGAGTGCAGGATGGGACCTGGCGCGCCGAACCCGACGTCTATGTACTGCATCGTTGGCAAGAGCCTCCGTTTGAGTCCCGAGGGCCTCCTGATCATTTTCTTGATGGTTCCAAAGTTTATTTCTTTCCAGAGCCAATATCACAGTCCCTGATTTTATGCAAAATCCTAGCGGCAACACGCATCAGGCTCCTTCGACAACATTGTGCTCTCTTCCTCAAGGCCTGGGGTACGCTTGCATGCTTTGGGGCTTGACGGTCCCAGGCACTCATACCCTAATATACACTGTAGACCCTCGACCCGGAACATGAAGATGCTAACCCTAAACCCAAAGCCTTACAGCACAAAAGCCCTAGAGCCTCAGACTTGACAGCCAAACCAATAACCCAGAGAGGCCAAAGCATTCAACCCATGGGGTTCCAGCTAGTCATCAAGGTATCTATGTTATTTAGACGCGTCAATTCGATGTGCCCATGAACCTTTAAATCAACATGCGTGAATCCTATATCCAGCTTGATGAAGTGCACTCTTCCCGGTAAGCCAAGGCCTTACAATTGTGAGTGGTAGTCTTCAAGAGTTCGAGGCCAGAACGGACTTCTCAATCGACTCATCACGCGAGACCTGCTGAATACAGGTTGTGTCACCATCTGTATCTGTAAGAGTAACTTTAAAGCATCTGTAACGCTAAACCCGCCCTAATCCTTTCGGAAGGGACGTAGTCGGCTCCGGAACAGGATGCTCGATGCGAATTGCCCACTGCAAACCCCGGTGGTTCGAGGACAAGGAGGAGCCGACAGAGCAGTGGTGTGGGGTTTCGGGCTTTTGGGTTTGCACTGCTCAATCTTCGGAGGGTAGCATGATTGTGAGCCTACACTTGCAGAAGCAGGGTAGGGAATCAAGACAACTTGCAAGTGCGGACCGAATCGTTTTGAAAAACTTCACCTCACTATTTGCAGCCTCCCTAACTCTTCAAGGAAGCCCCCCAAGGCCCTCCCAATCGCTAGACACACTACTTGAAGGACGTTGCGCTTTCTCCTGGAGCATCTTCGCTACGCGAGCCCCCAGGACAGGCAGGTTCTTGTCATTGGTCATCAGAGTACCGTACTCTTCCATGGGCCCAGAAACACGCAAGCCGCTAGAATTTTGAGAAGCTGCCCATGTTTAAGTTTAGGAACCTTGATGGCTGTGGCATGTGGTTCTTTAGGTTTAGAGCGGCTTAGAACGAGTGGGCTCTGGGAACTGGCCTAGGGTTGAGGATGGACTTTTCACATGTCCTTGCATCACCTCCGAAGTTCCGTCTAAAGCTGCCATTTGGCCTCGGAACTTGTCGGCAGCACCATGTACCAAGTTAGGATTGCTTGCGAAATAAAGTGCCCTAAATACAATTTCCTTCTGTGCTTTGTTGGATGCCGGATGTAGTCTGCTGCTGGGACGTCTCCATAGATCTGCAGGCGCTGCTGCCAGGTAGACATTTTGAAAGCTTGTGTTGTCAGGCTTAATGGACCATCGCCGAACGTCTACTACAGCCTGAAACCAAAACCCTAAGCGTACAGACACCTAAGCCTCAACCAGCTAACCGTGCTTTAGATGAACTCTCCTGCGATTCGCCCGTGCCCATATCCGCGCCCTTTGCTGCCGGGGGATGCTAGCCGGCGACCTGTCTTCCCGGCTGCGCAACGCTACAAGGATGGGTTTGGGGTCTACGTACCTTGATTGAACGGCAAATGTCTATAAATGACCGATGGAACCGAGCGTTTAGATGGATGGATGTCGTTTTGTTCGAACACTTTAAACTTTAGCTACCCTCTCTCACTTGTTCTGCTGTTCTGGCTTCTGTAAGCAGGACGTGTACCTTGTGGGGTCCGTGCCAGGCTGTTCAACTCGTACGTGTAGTCTTCAGATCAAGGGACGGATATTACATTGCGAACGCCCTGTGCCGTGGACACAAGCCCTTAGAAGGTTTGAAGCCCTCTGTCAACCTCACAACCTCCAAGTTCGAAGACGGTATGCCTCAATGCAACCCTGAACACTCAAGCCTGAACCCTGAACTGCAAGGGTGCACTGACAGGTGAGCCAAAGCTGCCCACTTTTCATGGCCGCGCTGGTCTCTCAAGGCCTGCAATCTGCAACAAGAATGTGATGTCCAGGTTTGCGTATTCGGGGCTTATGGGTTCGGGTTGAGTATGGGCTCAGTCCTTGGATTCTGCACTTGCCCTGAGGGGTGCAGCAATAGGTTTCTAGTATTTATCACTGCCTAGCTGTTATCTACTCACAGCTGAACCATAATGAAGCACCCGAAACCCCTTAACCCCCCCTCGACCCGAAACCCCAGGCCGGGCCTGTCGGGCGTCAACGTCGACCGCACCGGGCACAGGAGTTCCGCCGGCCGCACTGCGCACCGCGAAAATCACGGGGGCCTACATTGCAGCGATAGGCCGGGGCTGAAGGTCTGAGGGTTTAGGTTTTCCGGGTTCAAGGTCCAGGATGCAAAGTGTACTACGCCTGCATAACCTAGCTTACTGACTAGCACAGAAAGCCGCATAAGGCCGGCGCAAATCGGGTCTGGTAGGTTGAACCGCGTTTGGAGCTCGGGTCCAGATGGGTTTGCTGATTTGGACCCGTGTTGTTGGATCCTTATTTTTTGTGAAGGTGTAAGCAGTACTGTTACCCTGTTACCCTCCGTGCAGAGCCTCGATTTCTGAGGCATTTGCCTGGTGGTGGCCCCCACCACCCTCTTCGGCCTCGTCTTTGACGTCGTAGAGTTGCAGCGCCTTTGGATTCGAGTCTTCGGCTCCCTCTGCGCGCTGCTGGGATGGTACTACTTCGGCGCTGCCCGCGACGGAATCTGAGCAGGATTCTAGATTTAGCTCCGAATTTCTGAATCTTAACAGAAGCCATACTATGAACTATTTCAGTCTAGATTGCTGCTGTCTCCCTCTCGCTTTGTTTCTTTCGCCACTCTCGGCCACCGTACAACCGTAGAACACCCTTACAAAAACAAAAACATCCAACTCTTTAACACGCTTCGTGGGCTCCGTGATTCAGGAAGCCGGGGATTCCTGGAAGCCACGGTGTCGGGTCGCTTCGTCTTGGCACTGCTGCTTTTGGCCATCGTTGGCTCCGAGGCATTAGTGATGAGTATGATGAGATTATGTTCAGTCAGATGGTGTCACTCCTTATCGCCGTTACTGTTAGTCAGTGTCGCCGTCACTACCTTAATTTCGTTCTTGTTAGTATTGTTGTCGTTACTATTGTTGCTGCGATTACTACTAGTAGTTGATCACCCCTGACGCTGATGCTCAATCAACATCGTGTAGCCAATTCAGCAGAAGCTGTTACCACCGCATGATGTGTTCACAACCTCAAACATGCGACAGAGCTGCCACTGTTCTGCTTAAAGTACTCGTAGTATCGGTGCCTGCTTTCGTTGTTCGCGGTGTTGTTAACAGGCCATAACGTTTCGTCTTACGATCCGATCCGTAAGCCCGCAACTGAGCCTAGGGCCGATATATCCTGAGTCCTAAACTCGAGCCTGAGCCCCTGAGCTTCATCGCTGGACTGCAATTGTGTTCCACCGGGACAGGGAGTGCGTCTACCTCACACCGGGGACTCCTTTGCCTCCTGGTTTCGATCCAGCTCCTCGTATGCAAAGGCCTCACACCTGCCAACCAAACAATGAAGGACCTCAATCAGGCTTAGGTTAGGTCTTAAATTCGCAGGATCAGCGAGCATTCCACCCGTCGGTCAAGTCACATAGTGTGTGGAAACAGGGTTGAACTTCTCGGAAGTTGTGTTGGTGCTTGCTTTGGGCTTGGCTAGAGTTCGAGATTGGTAGTCGTCGAGCTCGCTATTATCGCTGGGTGCTGGTATATGCTTCTGATGGATAGCGAAGCGGTTTGTCCATTACCACCACTGACGGTTTCAAGGATTTAGGCGCTCTTGGTGCTCAGTCGTCGGTTCTGCGTCCTAAGGTAGACACCTGGTTCGTAAGACCGTCACTTAAAGCGACGAGGCTCCCTACCATAGCCCTTAGCAGTGGGGTACAGTATGAACCATCTCCCTTGACTTAGCCGAATCTGACACCTTTCGAACATGAAAACTACAGCCTGAGGTCACATGGGACTGGTTCTCCTCGCCGCCACGATGCTGGGTCAAAGCAGACATCCTTTTGCAGTAGTAGCAGTAGTAGTAGTA